ANTTATTTAAAAAAATCTTGATGTGGTAACACAATTAGCTATAAATTTGTGAGATCCCGCATGCTAACACATCAAACTACGAGATTCATTTTGACAAATGATTGGTTTGCTAACAAAATGGGTCCATTTTCCGTGAATTCACTACTTATCTGCTTGCATCGATTTCTGAATTGAGACCACAAGTTCTCGGTAAATAAATTTTTGGAGCCGGACTGACCACGAGAACGTCGGATAGATCACGCCTATGCCAAATGTTTTTCGGTGTGCCACCTCATTGAAATGAGACGAGGCACAGCGCCAGATGTTTCGTTTTAAAAGCAAAATAAATTGTTCCACCAGATTGAGACTGTTGGGAGAGATGAAAAATACTGAAAAGAGCCTTGTTAACTAAAACGAAAATGGTGGGCACTATTACTTCATTCGTCAATGGAACGCAATATATTAAAGACCCTAGTCAACCAACTGCAGGTGTTGCACGGGTTTCTGGAACGTTGGAGTGGAACTGGCATATTCAACTAGATACAGCCAATTAACGGTGGCTCTCACTTCTTCTACGCGTGTCCCAACTAGAAAGAAGAAAACATAGCAGGCTAATAAATCCCTATCACACTTTTCTTCACACTACCCAAGTAGCAAATAAAACTATTTTTCAGGAAATAACATGGTATTGTAGCCACAGATGACAATTTAACCATCCATGGATACACATGGAATGGAGGAGTGAGACTGAGATGGCTGTCGATCTCTATGCTGTCATAAAGAGTTTTTGTGGTTAGTGGTGGTCATATATCCGCCTTTCGAGTGCTAATGAGATTACCTGCGGGCTGTTACGGCCTATAATTCTACCGTCGCATCTCCCGGCGCACATCAGTATCCTGAATGAAGCATATTCACCAAGAATTGTTTTATTCCGTTCAAACAGGCCATTGGGTGTATTTATCCTGATAACTGAGTTAACGGCATTCGGCACTAAAAATTTGTATTCAGCGATATTGTTCCTCATAATTCAACGAAGATAGCAAATGTAACCAATTAAACATTAGTCTATAGGATACTTTGGCTGACTAAATGATAAATCACCAAATTTATCTTTTCATGTCGTCTGTTGGTAGTATTTCTCTTAATGTGGTGTCGTTATTGATGGATGGTTC